ATCACTACCTTAACAAGGTCATATGCTCAGCAGGTAACTGGCAGAGCTAAAACAAGAACCCATGTCTTCAGACTTCTTGTTCAATGTTCTCTTAGCACTCTTGTTCACTCTGCTAGCACATGACTTCACGAAGTGATTTTGTTGTCTGCCATGTCCTTGATGTCTAAAACAGTACCCGACACATAGTAAGGGCTCAATAAATATTTACTCAATAAGGGAATGAATATGAGATCCCATTCATATATAATAGTGCTATTCAATGTGGACTCTTATCAGGCCCAACTTAATAATGCTATGGCTGTATCTATTTGGTTATGATTTAAATGGGCTAGTGCTTTCAGCAATATGTCACATATGAGTTATGCTTAAGTACTTACTAGAAATGGCTGAGGAGGGAAAAGGCCTCGTGAGAGGGTCACAGAGGCGAGTGCGAAGGGATAAGGAAGTGGACATTGGACCAGAGCATACCAGACTAGCACCCTGAGGAGGGGTATCACTCCTCATTTGGTGGCAGTTGTTGGAGGCTGGCAGTCCAGAGGAAACCTAAAAAACCCTCTTTATAATATAATTCAATTCACATATTCAATTGTAATTTTAAAAGATTTATTTTTTACAGGTGACTGAATGATTAGAACCCATTTCTGTGGTTAGCACAATTCAAAATATGAAAACAAAAAAAAAGTTAAAACGGTAGCTAATATTGTATAATCTACTTTAAAAATTGAGTTAAATATACTTAAATATTTGAAGAAATAAAGGTTACATTTATTAAGCATTTATTTTGCACTGTGAGCTGTATTAAATGCTTTATATATATTACTTCGTTTGCTCTTTACAAGTCTGTGAGTATGTGGTGGTGACACCGGTAGGTGCAGATGAAGAAGCTGGTGCTGAATAACATACCTATTACCTCTGGGCATATGGACAGACTATTTAGCCTCCTTAGACCCAGTCTGTCCTTCTGCAATGTGGAAATAATAATACTGTCTCTCAAAGGCCTGGATATAAGTGGGACATGAGACCACATTCTGAAGGCCTCTAAGACAGTGTTCAACATAGTAGAATCAAGATTCAATCATCCCCTTAAAATTCAGTTTCAAGAGGATATTTTGATGGGAATATTCATAACTACTAATAATACTATAGAAAAAATTATTCTAAAATGATTCCTCTTATTTTCCCCAGTCCCTCCAAAAGATTTATATTGCATTCTATAAACACATAGAATTAAGTACTAGTGTTTACTATTAGCTACCATGTGTCAGGCACAAAGATATATATGTCTTATTTAATCTTAACAACCCTATGAGGTGAAACTATTGTTACCCTTCTACAGGTAAGTAAGGAGATGATAGGTCCAGAATATAGTTATGCTAGGATTTGAACAGAAACAGTATGGGTCCGGGGCCCCTCTGTCTACCCTAGGTCTTAACTAGAATGAAAATACCCAGTGCTGGCAAGTTTTGGCTAAATGGCTATCGGTAGGGAGTCAATACCTATCACCATAATCTTTTCAGATAGCAAGTGGTTGATACAAGTGAAAATTTTGAACTTGTATAGCTTATGACTCAGCAAGTGTACTTGGGGGAAATCTTTGCTATAGAAATAAAAGCACTAGTACCTAATATTTCTCTCTCACACACACACTCATAATCTTTATTTTGGTATTCTTTTACTAGCAAAACATGGAAAATTATCTGAATATCTGTCAGTTGGGAAAAAAAAGTATAATAGGAGTGTATTAAAATATGGCCGTTACATTAAGCAAAAAAAGCAAGTTTTTATTTTTATTTATTTTTCTTTTTAAAGATTTTTTATTTTATTTATTTAACAGAGAGAGAGAGCACAAGCAGGGGGAGCAGCAGGGAGAGGGAGAAGCCGGTTTCCTGCCAAGCAGGGAGCCCAATGCCGGACTCGATCCTAGGACCCTGGGATCACGACCCGAGCTGAAGGCAGACGCTCCACGGACTGAGCCACCCAGGCGCCCCAAAAAGCAAGTTTTTAAAAAATGAATAGAATCAGCGCCTGGGTGGCTCAGTTGGTTAAGTGACTGCCTTCGGCTCAGGTCATGATCCCAGGGTCCTGGGATCGAGTCCCACATTGGGCTCCCTGCTCAGCAGGGAGTCTGCTTCTCCCTCTGACCCTCCCCCCTTTCATGCTCTCTTTCATTCTCTCAAATAAATAATTAAAATCTTTAAAAAAAATGAACAGAATCTATTCCAGAAGGATGTAAAATATGCACCTCAAACTTAACCTACCTAAAATAAACCTCTTAATTTCTGCCTCCCTGTTGAACAGCTATTCTTCAATAGACTGTAATAAATGGCACCACTATCCACCTAATTGCTCAAGCCAAAAATCTAGATTTATTCATGACTTTCTTCTCAGCTCCCACATTTAATCAATCAAGTCTGATTCAACATCCAGAACACCCAGAACCCACTCACTTTTCTTTCCCTCCAATACCAAACCACAATCTTCATCTAACTGCAAACGAGTCACATGTGGGTCTCCACCTTCTACTGTATTACTATTACCTTCCCGTAGTCCATTCTCTACCTAGTAGACTGTACACCGAGTCACCTCATTCCCCTTTACTGGTTTCCAGCACACATAGGCTAAAACCCAAACTTCTTACTCTGACTCACAAAGATCCCTGCCCCATTACCACTCTCCAGGCCCCCAATATGCCTCTAGCCATATCCCTCCAATGCCTCAGCGCATTCTCACTTGAGAGTTATTTCTGTCCCCTCTGCAAAGAAAGCTCTTCCCCTTTATTTTTGTGTCTGGCTCCTTCTTACCATTTTGATCTTGTTTACATTTCACCTTGTCTAAGAGTGCTTCCCTAACACCAACTGAAGTGGTCACAAGTTACATTCCCTATTTTAATTCTCCGCAAGGCACTGACCACTACTGATAATTCTCTTGGTGTATTTATTCATTTATTTATTAGAATGTAAGTTGAACCACAGTAAGGAGCCTTCTGTTTTATTCACACCTATCTCTAATACCCAAGCCTGCCTAATGCATAATAGGCACTCACTGAATGCTTGTTGAATGGAAAGAATGTATTATACAGTTGAGTTTTTACTAAAAGAGGCATTACTCACATATAGCTGTTTATTTTTGTGGTAGAAAAGGAAAAAGTATGAAAATACTAAAGAGTAAATATTAACTACCTCGGGGAGGTGGGGAAAGGAAAATTAACTTTTTCCTCCTAATAACTCTGCACGGCTTGATTAGTTACAATAAGTATGTATTTCTTTTTGGAATTAAATTCAATAAATAAAAAATGTAAAGAGAATGTAATATTCCCCCAGCTGAGGAGATACTTGATTATATAGCTAGTTAGCTATCTAATGTCTGTCTAACTCTAGAAGCAGATGAATGTGATAGCAATCTTGTACTAGTAATTTCTCCATTAATAAAGTAATTATTTAAAGATACCTGTGATCATAGATAATAGGTACTAACGTGTTTTGAAACTATAAAGGAAGAGGTACTGATGGTTACCAGAGGGGAGAGGGATGGGGAGATGGATTAAATAGGCGATGGGGATTAAGGAGTGCACTTTTCCTGATGAGCACGGGGTGATATATGCAGTTATTGAATCACTATACTGTATACCTGAAACTAATATTACAATGTAAGTTAACTAACTGGAATTTAAATAAAAGCTCAAAAACAAAACAAAACAAAAAACAACCCACCAAAAAAGATAATTTTTCTAATAAATTCTGAAATGCCCAATTAGGGCAAATTATAGATCCAGAAAAAACTTTAAGGAACTTTGAGGAAAGTAATATTCATATGTTAAGTTTTAATGTGTTTAACATTATTTGATATTACCTTTTTTTCCTTTTTTTTTTTTTAAGGAAGGGGTGGGAGGATGGGGGTGGTGCAGAGGGAGAGTGAGAGAGAGACAATCTTAAAGCACTCTCCACGCTTAGCACGGAGCTCAAAGCTGGGCTCAATCTCATGACCCTGAGATCATGACCTGAGCTGAAATCAAGAGATAACACCTTACACCAGTTAGAATGACAAACATTAACAAGACAGGAAACAACAAATGTTGGCGAGGATGTGGAGAAGGCGGATCCCTCTTACACTGTTGGTGGGAATGCAGGCTGGTGCAGCCACTCTGGAAAACAGTATGGAGGTTCCTCAAGAAGTTAAAAATAAAGCCACCCTACAACCCAGCAATTATACTAGGTATTTATCCCAAAGATACAGATGTAGTGAAAAGAAGGGGCACCTGCACCCCAATGTTCATAGCAGCAATGTCCACAATAGCCAAAATGTGGAAGGAGCCGAGATGCCCTTCAACAGATGAATGGATAAAAAAAGATGTGGTTTATATATACAATGGAATATTACCTCAGCCATCAGAAGGATGAATACCCACCATTTGCATCGACATGGATGGAACTGGAGGGGATTATGCTAAGTGAAGTAGTCAAGCAGAGAAAGACAATTATAATATTTTTTTCACTCATATGTGAAACATAAGGAATAGCACAGAGGACATTAGGGGAAGGAAGGGGAAACTGAAGGGGGAGAAATCAGAGAGGGAGATGAACCATGAGAGACTGTGGACTCCAGGAGCCAAACTGAGGGTTACAGAAGGGAGGAAGGTGGGGGGATGAGGTAACCGGGTGATGGGTATTAAGAAGGGCATGTGTTGTGATGAGCCCTGGGTGTCATATGTAACTAATGAATCGTTGAACACTACGTTAAAAACTAATGATGTACTGTATGTTGGCTAACTGAACATAAAAAAAAAAAGTCGGACGCTTAACTGACTGAGCCACCCAGGTGCCCCTATTTTATATTACTTTGTAATCCTACCTCAAATACTTCCTAATCAGGGAAATTCCCTATTTAACAAATTCTATGAATTTGGAATACCAGATAGTGAGAATCAAAAATGCTAGATTTTGGAAAAAATAATCCTGACAAATCCATCTAAGTCACTACATGCCAATTAGGAGCCGTCTTACCTCAACAGAAGACGGGGAGCTTGACGGTACCGGAAAGGGGGTAACAGCCATCTGATTGACTGCATCTTCATTTCTGCGGACGTGAAAATAGGCAGAATCAGTACACAGCAAATGCTAAGTTTCTGGCTCAAATTACAACCATTTCCTCTGTTGAAAATGTATACAAAGCACCTTAGAATAAAAATATGTACAAATACATACTGGTTTTAAGCATGCAAAGCTATTAAGCACAAAAAGGGATATATTACCCCAGGGACACTAGGATATGGTTACTAGAGACAGAGAATGATGATGCTAGGGGTTAGCTAGATCTTGCTTAGTAAGTCAGGTGCTGCTGAGGATCATTTTGGAAAGACATCAACTCTTTCAGCACTGTGGAATATAAATTTTTCAAATGGCTGTGTTTAACCTCTAGGCCCATTAATGTCCAGAGCATTTTGTTCTTTGAACTGGAAAGGTTCCCGGCCTCCTCACTTGGCTTCTAACTTTGTCCTGCCAAATGAAGGATGATGGGATGTGTATGACAGGCCCTCCATGGGTGGACACTGGGAGGAGGAGTGATGGATGGGGAGAGTGCAGATCCAGACAGATGATGCTTTGTGGGTGAATTCTACTCCTCCTCATCCTAATGGAAGCAGAGATGGTGGGAGCTAAAGCTTCATCACCAGGGTCACAGGTACAGAACAACTCCTACAATACCAGTTCTAATTATTTGGACCTATTTCCATGACGTTACCAGCAAATGATAAACAGTGGTTCTTCTGTGGGAGATCTAACCTTTACTATTTATTCATGACACAAACCCAGTATCATTATCTCAAGGTTTATGTGACATTTGACTTTAGGTTTAACAGTACAAACCAAGGGAGATCACAACAATGCTTCTTCCTGGTATGCAAAGATCTAAGACTGCTCACAGATCTCTCCCCATATGACCAGTATATTCAGGATAGCCACTACCGGATTTGGAAGGGCACTCAAAATCCAACCCCTTTACTTCTCACCAATTGGAAAAAGATCCATTGGTCCATGTCATTCCTGCTTTGGTGCTTTAATCCTATCACTGCCCTTACCTGAAATGCCTTTCTTTATTAAATTTATAATCCACCTATCCTTCCCCTCCAGTGTGAGTTCAATAGCCTCACCTAGATGAATTATTCCCTTAAGTCAAAAGACCATCTATATATTGATGTCTTCCAAATTCACATAGTTAGCCCAGGTCTTTTTCTGAGCTTAATATCTGATCTCTAACTCCTACTTTATATCTCCATTGGATGTCTTACAAGTATTTCAAATAAAATAGATCTCTTATTCCCACTCAGTCACCAGAGGGTTCCATGATTAATCCTCCTCATTTGAGTAAATGTCAACAATGTCCACCCAGTTATTCAACCAAGAACCGAAGAGGCACTCTTGAAATCTCTAACCCCTCAACTGTATATTCAATCAAGAAGTCTTGTTGATTCTACCTTCAAAACGTATCTTGAGTCTTTCCACTTATTTCCATCCTATCCTAGGGCAAGCTATCATCTTTTCTTTCCTTCCTTCCTTCCTTCCTGTAGGCTCCATGCCCTGTGTGAAGCCCCATGTAGGGCTTGAACTCAGGATCCTGAGATCAAGACCTGGGCTGAGACGGAGAGTTGGACACCCAACCAACTCATTCACCCAGGTGCCCCTAGTTATTATCATTTCCTCACCAGAGTTAAAATAAGAGCATCCTATTTGGTCTCCTTACTTATATTCTTTATCCTTTCTCCAATCCATTCTTCACCCAGAAGAGTTATTACAGTTCTAATACATAAATCTGATTATATTTCTATCCCCTGCTTAAAATCCTCCTATGGCCTCTTATTACACTTAGGATCAAGTCCACAATTGTTAGGGAGGCTGTAAGGCCTTGAACAATCTTCCCCAGCCCCCATCTCTGGCTTCCTCTTGTTCTCTCTTCTCCTGGCTCACACTTTGCTCCAATCCAGCTACATGAAATTTCCTCCCATTTCTCAGCTGAGCTAAGCTCCATCCACCTCAGGGCACTATCTAGCCCTATCCTCCTCTCATCTGCATGTCTGTTGCCCAAATCCTTTGTCTGATTTATGTTCTTATTTCTTCTTCATAGCTGACCACAAATGTCATTTCTTGAAACAAGCCTTCCAGGAGCTCTACTGTATGTGTATAGCACCCTATACAAAGACTGCAGTTCTGCGTGCTTCATAATTCACCTATAACTGATCTGCATGCAATGTGCTTCCCAGTCTGCCTTCTCCTGGATGGTACACTGCAGTTCTGCGTCCTTCGTAATTTACCTATAACTGATCTGCATGCAATGTGCTTCCAGTCGGCCTTCTCCTGGATGGTACACTGCAGTTCTGTATCCTTCGTAATTTACCTATAACTGATCTGTATGCAATGTGCTTCCAGTCTGCCTTCTCCTGGATGGTACACTCCAAGGACAGGAAGCATGTCCTTCCTATTCTCTTACATTATCTGGGGCAATCAGTGCCTGACAAACAGTCTGTACTTAACATAGCTGTTAAATGAATCGAACTGCAAGAATTCAACTGAACTGCAAAAATTCTAGGCTGATGTAAATTCTTTGTGGAATGAGGCAGAGTCTAAATAAAGAGATGAAGTCTAGGTACCATTTCTTATACTAACCTTCTGAGATTCTTGTATTATCTAGCATATGAGCCAAACCAAAGCAAAAGGGTGAAAAACGAAAACCATAAAGTGACAGTGCATGAAGACTATCTCTGTTTTTCTCTGACACTATTACATATGCCTTGAGCATGCACTGTTACATTAAGAGGTGGCTATTGTTTTTCAGGGAGTACAATCCATTCCTCAGCAGTTTGTTCATACACAGAAGTAATCAGTTACCTTTGGATAATTGCATTTTCAAAGTGGTAATTCCCTTTCGCATTCATTTTCCTTCACTGAGTAACACAACAGAACTCAGCTCTACCTCAGAGCTAAAAGCCAACAAGGACCCGTCTGCTCCAGATTCAGAGCTCATGGGGCAGAGTATACTTGGCAGTAATTAAGCAGATGGCTTCTCATACCTCTCTCAAAGGTTACTAGCATTAAATATATGGCTGCACATAAATTCTTATTGAGAAGTCATGATTACCTGGACCAAGTTACTTCAAATCAGCCAAGTTATCCCTTCATAATTTAATGGTTTTCTCTAAATTAGTATGACTTTAATGGCCTTTAAATTCCATATTAATTTTTTTAAACCTCACAAAATAGAAAACTTACAATTACTCTCAATGGAGAGAAGGAAGCGGCTTTTAAGAAGTTACATTTCATAATCCTTTATAATCCACTTACTAGGGAGTGTTCACGCACCTCCACATCAAGCAAGCAAAGACCTGACAATTTTAAAGAGAAATGAGTAGGAAGAGGGAAGCCAAAGGAGAGAAAGCATTTACACTTCAAACAAGCAGTTAACCTGAATGACTTCTGGGGACCCTCCGACCTCTCCTCTCCTATGATTCTCATAAAGAATAAAATCTGTTTGCTTTATAACTTCCTTTTCCTTTCCAATATAATTAATGTAAGTTTCTTAGGCCCAGGTGCCCCATACAGGACACAATCAGAAATTGTAACTGCTTGTTGGTATTTTTATAATTATCTTTAACAGCTGTTGAGAGAGATAACAGAGTGCCACCATGGGTAAGGGAATAGTTTTCCGGAGTACAGAACTCTGCCTGTATGTATGTCTGTTAGCATTGCATTTGCCATGCTCTATTAAAATGATCTGTGCTGTTCTTTCTCCTTCTCCAAGCCCAGGGATGGGATCTTATCTCTGCATCCCCCTTGCTTGCAACAGGGTACCTGACAGAGAGTAGGTGTAACATATGTCTGTTGAATAAAAGTGATCTTAACAGGGTAAGAAAAAGATATGGAGGCAGAACTATCAAAACTATGCCCTGAGTTTTTCAAGTTGCTTCAATGAATTAATGATGGTATACTGCCTCTAGCCAGCCAGCTATGAGTATTTGCCACCTTAATAGACATTTCTTGGGGTGTCTGCCCAGCTCACAGTGATTTCCCGAATGGACCAGAATAGCAATGTCTATACTGTGTAATGACAGTCTGCCTCAACCTCAGTGGTGGATGTAGGGGGGCAAACACCTCTCTTAGTTTGGGCCAATCAGATTCTTTCCCAGGGACTCAAAAATTTAGAACAGACACAAAGATCTGGAGTGTAATAGCTGGATAATATCAATGGAAATGCTCAAGGCTAAAGAAGGGGTTCAGACATCCCTTCTGCTGATATCTCTGGAGTCATCCTGGCTCCTTTTCTTCAGTCTTAGCTGAATGCCTCCTCCTTAAGAGTCCCTGAGACATCCCTGTATTCTTACAGTGCATTCTCCTTTTACTTTAAGCTGGCCAGGATTTACTTTAATTCATTGAAACTCAATAATATAGCTCTGATTTTGTTTTGAATATATATATTAGTTCATTTAACATTTATACTATGGGTACGAAGATGAATAAAACATCATTCTTGGTGTTGATATTAGCAATTAGTGAGGAATATAGCTAAATAGTGAGGAACGCATGTCTGCATGTCTGTTGATGCATGTCTGTTGGTATTAGCAATTAGTGAGGATATTAGCAATTAGTGAGGAATATAGCTAAATAAGTAAACAATTACAATAATGGAATTACTATACAGGGACCGTCAATTTAGTTTTTCTCCAAAAGGATGCTAGGAACACCCCCAGTTCAGTTTCTTGTTTAGGTCCTGATTTCAATTTTATTTTGTTATAAAATACACCCACTGGTACTTGGTGTTACTCAGAATTCTAAGAAGGTTCCCAAGATTCTTGTCCCCTGGTTTACATACTGAATAGGATCAATTTCACTTCCATGATTAGGTTATATTAAGACAAAGATTATCAGGTTGGGCCTGACCTAATCACATGGGTCCTTTAAATCTGGAGATTTCACTTCTCAAGAGTTTCAGTGCCCTGTCTTACATGAATCCTAAGGAATGCGTGGAGGTCAGAGACTAGAAGCACCATTGCAGGTTTGAGGATTATGGAGGCCATGTAACAATAAATA